ACAGTAATTGACATATATCTTCAATCAAAAAATTTTTTTTTTTTATATATTATTTGTTAGCACTTCATTTTCTTAGAGATTAGTAAGTTTAATTAATTTGGAGATTTTTATGTTGTAATTTTGTTGAAATTAGTAAAAAAAAAGTCAAACCACTCCATTTTTTTTAGACAAACCACTCCTCTTTGTTTTTTCTTTGTTGAGTACAACATGTAGAGGTGAAGATCGAACTCACAATCTCTTGATTGGAGATATTTGTCCATCATCGCTGAGTTATGCTTACTTTGACAAACCACGTTTAAGTCATTCCTTATTCTAGATAAGCCCTATTTTCCAACCTTAAAAAATTAAAATTTAATGTCATATGAGTGTAATTATACTCTTCCCGTGGTCTTCCAAATCTCACCTCTTTTGTAATTATACTCTTCTACTATTTCTCTCAATTGAAGTGTTTTTATATAGCATCATTTTTCTATACGTTCCGGTACGTACCTACTTAATGAAATTATATCTTTTCCCAACCAAAAAAAAATATTAAAAGGAACTTTTTTGGCTACGAAGTCAAACATATCATGACACATCTAAAAAGCATCTCAAATGAATTAATTAAAAGCTCTTTTACTTAAACAAAAAACAAACAAAAACACTTGCTAAGTATGAAAAAAGAGAAAACTTTCATCATTTCTTGAAGCAATAATCAAGAGAGATGTTGATACAATGAACTTGTAAAATTTTTGACTTAAACAGAGACAAAACTTTATTAATCCAATATCTAAGATTATAAATCATACTCAAACGCGTTTGGCAAATGCTACTCACTCTCATCAAGTGAGTGATTACATGTGAAAATTAAGGCCTCACTTTAATTTTTTAAGAGTAGGACCAAAAATCTAATTTATTAAGCACATTTTAATAAATAGAGGGAAGAATTTTATATATATATATATATATATAAAAGTACTCAAATTTTCTAATTCTTGATAAGAAGGGGCAATTATCGTCCCTTTTTTTAATATGGTGGCCGTGGCTCCACCACTATTTTGGTGAGAACATTTTTATGGGATATTTTATAGGTGTTAGATAATATTTGAATATTGTTAGTGGACAAAATTAAACTTCATATATTAATTTTCAAGAAGAAAATGAGAAATTTGAACTATTCTTTCTAGCACTTTTTCCTTTTCCTTTTAACTTCTAAAAACGCAAAGTTCATGGAACACAATTTTCAACATGGTAATTAATGTGACCATCAAAATATAAATTATTTTAGAATATCTTTAATTTTGAAGAAAATTTTAATATTTGAATAAGGTTTTGATCTAACAAGGGTGTTGTTGTCTCAAACTTAGGATTCGATATTCTTAGTGGTCTCGATATTCTCTTGCATCCTATATAACTAGAACATATATTGTATTTACTTTCGAGATTAATAGTTACCATTACAAATCCAATACTCCTTATTTTAGCATGTGCTTTTTTCACAATGTTTTCTTAGAATTAGTCAAAATTAAATGTAGTTTAAATAGGGAGTTATGAGTGGATAAGCAACAAAAAAGAAATGTGAACCTTATATCAATATTGCTAGTGAATCTCTTTCAAACTCTTCTGTACATCATTCTCTAGCAAAAAGTTTTCAATAGTGGAGAGGCAAAATTTTACATTATGGCCTTTTATATATGTAATATATCAATTTGTAAAATTTAGATGGGGATCAACAAAATAGAGAGAAAATCTTACAATATTTAACTTTTATATGTGCTTTTATTTTTTCAAAAAAATCTAAACGAACTAAGATGGACAATTATCCGTTCATATCTATATTGATAGGGTTTTATCCCAAAATGAATTAACAAAGAGAGAAGTAGTCTAACTATGTATATTATAAACCTTTGTCGGGTTGTTTATTGTTGGGTTTTTCGTACGAATTAGGTACTAACTTTTTGTAGCGCATAACGAAATCTACGAGAAAACCAAGTAGTGATCGGAGATTAATAACGAATGGAAAAATCTCACATTTCACGTCTACTGATGATGCATATAAGAATAATTTGAAACTAAAAATCTTCTTTGTGTTTTACAGGGTATATATAATGTTATTTAAAAAATGAATCGTTTAATGATTCGTAACGTAATAAACGAATTTCATAAAAAGAAGTCTTATTTTACTGGATCAACTTGTAGGCTATCTTTTATGATTGATACCAAAATAAAATAGTGTTTTTCTTGTAATTATTCCTTGTTGTATAGTGAGAAATTTTTGTAATGCATACTAAATGATAATAATAAAGAAAATTTCCGTTTCTATATTGTCATAAAATTTTCCTTAAATAAATGGTTGTGTTCATTAATAATTTCAATGGGTCATTTTATTTGCAGCAATAAAATTCTCTCAATCTTCTTTTTTGTGGATTTTCTTAGAATGAAACACATGGTCGATAGAGAAGAGAGATTTGAGAGTGCATTACTCAACTCATCTCTCAGTCTAAAATTCAAATCTAAATTTAATTTTTGGATTTACATCAATTTAAATAATTGATAAATTCTACACTTATTTTTTCAACGTGGATCCTCAACACTCCTTCTTCCTTTTTGCCCTTGCTACACCTTACGATCCAACATACCACACCACCAACTATTCCGAAACATGTCACACAATGTCTTGAACTTCTTTCAAGAATCGGTGGAAGATTCATCCCTACCAAACAAAAAAGAGTTATTAATTTCATCATGTTTTGTTCTAGCGGTTTTGGAATAAGGCTACAAACGTAATCCAAATCTCCCTTAGATTTTAGGTTTGAAAAGTAAAACATTATTACGTAAAATCATAAAGAGAAAATGAGATGAAAACCGTCCAAATAATTATTAGACCATGAAAGAAGAGAAAGAAAGAGTAGTAGTTGAGTTGTGTTGTACGTGATAAGTCATAGTTTTAATTAAAGACTAGAAAGGAAGTTCCTCATTTCGTAAAATGGACTGTGAAAATGAAATCAAAA